TTCGATGTTCGATGTCTGGATCTGTCTGTAACCGTCCACCGTTTTTTTGTCTGTTCTTTGGTTACCCTTTTTTTTTTCTTTTTTTTTTTTCCCCCCTTCCCTTTCTTTACAATGACGTCCTTGCCTCGGGGAAGACGGAGATCACATGCTGATTCGTCCCCGTTCGCCTATAGCTAGAAGGATTATCGTTGTTTATAGTACCTCACCCGGCTTTGTTTTGCATGTCTTCCCGCGCCAATCGCTCATTGAGGGAAGGAAGGAGGGAGGGAGGACAAGTTTTGGTTTGCATGTCTTCCCACGCAAATCGTTCATTGAGGGAGGAAAGGAGGGAGGGAGGACAAGTTTTGGTTTGCGTGTCTTCCCAAGCAAATCGTTCACTGAGGGAGGGAAGGCGGACAAGAGGGGTCTTTGGACAAGAGGGGTCTTTGGACAAGAGGGGTCTTTGGACAGAAGAGGTCTTTGGACAAGAGGGCTCTTTGTATTTTCACCTGGGCAAGCACGATGCTTGCCTAGTGTGCACGACCCTAAGGAACTGTCCAGATTGATGGGATGTATAGGTCAAGGGCAAGAGTCGGCGTGGTCGTCATAGAATTTCTTTCTGAAACCTATGAAGAGCTCAGTTGGGACACCGATGAACTGTTGAAATGCAGACCCGAGTTGGAATCTAAATTGATTTCAACTAGATCGGGCGAAGATGGTAGTTTTGCGTTTTCTGCAAAGGGGTTTTCTATTTTTGGGAGCTGTAGTTCGATGGCGGGTTCCAGTCACCAAACGAGATTATCAACCTGGGAAATTTGTCGGATCAGGACACTATCCTGCCATGTGAATTGTATGGAGCGCCGAGGAGTCACGTGGAAGGTGCTGAGCAATCAAATTGCTGAGCAATCAAAATACAGAAAGCAACGAAAATAGAGCATATATTGTTATTCAATAAAAGTTGTATTTCTTTCCACTAGTAAGCAATACAATGCAGGGAGATTCTGGTGGGAATTCAGCAAGGACAAATGGGACGAGGTCTCACTACTGTCTTCCCACGAACATAACGCACCCTAAAAATGAATGTATACAAGCTATATTTCTGGCCAGATACAGCCAAAATAAGGGTGCGTTGCGTTCGGGGGAAGACGGTAGTATAAGAGGATTGGATTGAGATGTTGCATCTGGATGTGTACTATACAGAGATGCAGAAAAGCAGCTCAATCTCGATTTGCTCGACCTTTCTACAAACACGTCCAGATTCAGGCATTCAGTTCAATCCTCTTTGCGAGTGGGACCTTGCCCACCTGTATTACCCCAACCCCTAGAGCCTGGAGTGATGCTGTAAGACATAGGGAAAAGCTTTTGAAGCTTCGAGATGCGATAGTCAAAGGAGAATTTGAATGGGGAGCAACTTATATTCCGCTGAAACCTGGGAAGAACGAAAAGCGTCCACTGGATATATATATATAACAGAACTGCCAGGTAAACCGTAGGCAGAGAGAGAAGAGGACAACAAACGAGGGGCTGTGACAAACTGTTTCGTCGGAGTTTCACCGACTCATCAGGAGGCTGAACCCTCAACAGTCTGCAGAATCCCCTCACTGATTACACT